GGTATATAGTTGGAAGATTTACCTTGCACCTGGAAGAAACCTCTGTCTCTGAGGCCCATGAAGTAAAATCTGTAAAACTACAGTAATGGCCAAATTAAAGTATCTCCATCTTACCAAAAGAGTAAGCACAAATCTTTATTGTATCTGTGGGGGAATGAAGAAATTAGTGCCACCATAAAAAATATGGAGGAATAAGGAGTGGAGGTTATGACCTTTAAATGACTTGTTTAGTCTGAGCAGAAGACAAACTAATTTTGCCAAACTATGCATTTAATCAGGTGGTGATTACAAACACAGCCAATATGGTCTCTCCACTGACGAAAATCAAAAAATATCTTCACCATTGTTTAGTAATGGTCTAATCGGTGACAATAAACTTTTTTAACATCTCAATACACAGAAACCACAGAAAACATTTGTTGCCACCTTGGCAAGAGCGACAACATACTTTCACCATCTTGTTTCAGTATTCTCTTAAATTTCCTGCTCTATAGCATAATTCAGTCCTCAGGGAACCCTGATCATCTCAATATCCTAAGATGTATCATGCTGGTTGACTACATGAATGGCATCAAACTGAAAGTATTTGATGGAATGGGATTATCATGTACCCCAAACACCTTTGTAAGAACCAAGAAATAAAAACCATCAAAATATAGGGGCATCTTTCTAAATGATATTTCTACACTTGATCTTAGCCAAAAGGCCAAGAAACAATCTTAGTGGTATTTCTGATACTCTGGGACAGGTTGGGACATGCCCTCCAAAATGTTTGCTGCATTTTGCAACTCATATCATGTTAACCAAACCCTCTGAAGATAGAATCCAAGAGCCTAAGATTAATTCAAAACAAAGTTTGGTCTATTTTACCTCAGAATTAGAATTCTGTACCTTTGCGTATTAAAATATTAGTAATTTAGGGTATTGTTTGTTTGTTTTTGGTTAGAATGAGCTTATTCTTTCTTGGGATAAAATATACATTTGTATATATTTAAAAAGCTTTAAATTTTAAATTTGATAGAGTATGCCTAGAGCAAAATTATTTTAAAATAAAAACTTTAAGAATATGTTTATAGAAAAATGTGGTAATGCACACTGTTTTGTGAGTAGATAATGAAACTTAAAAAATATTCGCTTTTAATAGAATTTTAATTTTCATACTATGTGTTGATGTATCACTCACTCTATCTATCCATTCATCCATCTATCCACCTAACTATCCAATAGATATTTTAGATAAATAAAACAGAAGAACAACAGAAATGTTGTTATGTAAATAAGCTAAATATTTTTTTTAAAGGAAAGGTTATCATGTGTACTTCAACTTTTTGAAAGAATGTATTGCATAAAGCATACAAACTCACTAGGAAGCTGGAGAAACTCACTCAGTATCCCTTTTCTAAGTTTAAGAATTTAAAAAATTCATGGTTTGCATTTTCATCATTTTATCCACTTTGCAACCTATTTGTTGAGTTCTCTACATAATTAACATATTTCCATTGTATTTTCCTATCATTTTCCCCTCCTCCAGACAGCATTTATCTTCCTGTAAATTACTTTTTTTTCCTCATTTTTCCCCTTTCAGATGTGTTTATTTTTCTTGACCATGAAAATCCTCACAATTTTACAATGCTTTCCTGTCAGCCTCAGTACTATTTGCTGCATCTTACAAGGAACCTAAAGTCCAACTAATTCTAGTATTCTTAAAACTTTTCTTAAAACTTTATATTTGGGGTTTTGTTTTGTTTTGTTTTGTTTTTTTAAGTAATCTCTACACCCAACATGGGGCTCAAACCCACAATCCTGAGATCAAGAATCACATACTCCATCAACTGAACCAGCCAGGTGCCCCAAAACTTTATATTTTGACTTTACCTATTAAATTACATGTAAAAAAGTACCATTTGAATTTAGACAACTTCTCGCAAGAACAAGGTGCTAGACTTCATAATGATATAATGACTGAGAAAGTGTTTTAAATACTGTATAAACATCCATAAACTTATCACTTAATCACTATCTTCAGCACAAAATCATTATTTACCTTTATAGACCAATCAGTTATGGTTACCTAATCAATTTCAGTTCCTAGGTTAATGAAAGATTCTCATCTTGAAAAAAATTGCTAGTTTTTCTTCTTGTACTTTAAAATATCATTTTGAATCTGGACCATTCAGACTGTGCACTAAAACTGCAGTAGATGACGGATGTCAACCTTCTGTGACCATCTCAAGTGACCTCAAGGAGAAACCAAAAACAAGAAGAACTGGAAAACCAGTTAAGCAGATGCAGGCCAGTAGTATTTTTGAATAATCCAATATGATAGAAACAATGTATTAAGACGACATAAGGCTCTTTCACATGCCTACATGGAAATCAGTAAACCTTAACTTCTACAACCAAACGAATTGTACCTTGGGACGCACACTATACAATGGAGAACTGCTTGCAAGGATGGATACCCTTTTCCCTTTTTGCACATAATCCTCTGTAAACTGACATGCTTTGGAGTTCTTCAGAACAATTTAAAGTACTGTCTCCTGGGCTATAGTCCTCATTAAGACACCGAATAAAACATTTATTAAACTATTTTAGGTTGGCTTTTTTTTTTATTCAACAACACACTGTGTTGATGTCACAGAAATAAATCAGAAAATGCCAAAATAAATTACAAATCTGAAATGAATCTATTACGAAAGAAATGCATTTCTCAAAAAACCCTCCTTAAAAAAGATTGATCTGTTGAAAGAAATTTTATATAAAAAACACATAGAGCACAAATAATTTGCTTCAATTTAGTGCTTAAAAATATTCAAATATTAAAAAGTAACTACTACAGCCCATTTTCCATAATGTTGATACTTGATAAATATGCAGCAATAGTGATATTAAACATAGGACATCCTAAGAGCTACTTGAAGTTAACAATTTTTGTGAAAATTGAGACTTAGTTTGTCTGGAACAGTCAGATACTAAGAAAAATCTCTTCTTGTTTTGATTTTTTTTTTTATGTTTGCAAAGCTTTTACAGTATGTATATCCTGAGAACTTGGAAAAAGTAGCAACTAAAATGTCTGCTCCGAATACAAATGTTTATTTTATATGATAGCTGTGCCTTGAACAGCTGGATGAAAATTATTCTTTCATGGTATTTAAGGTACACTTTGCAGTCTGAACAGACTAGCAAGTCAAAGACAACTAAAGCAAATATTTATTAAGTATATCATTTTAAAAGTGTACAGTCATTTCCTATACATAGCTCATCAGAGAAATATCATTCAAATAAGTTGAGGTTATGCAAGCTAGAAATTGTTCTCCCTGAGGAATACAACTCTTAGTGATTGTTCAATATGTTTTCAATATATTAATGGAAGACTCATACACGGAACCAAGTAAAGTTGAAAGATGTTGCATGAGAAGCCTGAAATCACATGTTATAAAACCAGTATTTTTCTGATGTGGGAAGGCAGTTCACATTTACTGAACACTTGTGACTAGATACTGTGATAGAATATCGACATATACCAGTATTGTCAGCAGCTGAGTCTAGAGTGAAGGAAAACTTAATTTTCACTATTCCTATCCAGCTCTTTAACACTTTTATTAGTTCTACCTTAGGTTAGGGAGCAAATGGAGAAAAATATAAAGGATTCACTTAGGGAAGTGGCATATATGTGTGCAATGTTTTCTCTCATAGAATAAAAAAAAAATGGACATCTATTCAACGTGGATAAGAATCTCTAGAGTATTTAGAATGATTCTTAGTGAATTACTCAATTACTTTCATATCATCCAGGCTGCTCTTGAATATTTCCCTTGACTTAATCAATCAGAAGCAACTATGAACTCAACTGTATGCATTTTCTTATTCTCAAGAGGTAATGACTTGATTTACCTGACACATTCAATATAATTCAAATTATTTTGGCCAAGACGTGGTTACCAACAGCATTCTCTTGTCAACCCAGTCATTCTACAACCTACTAACTTATACTAATGTATGTCCAATTCGATTCAGTCAAACACATCCTGTTTCATTGTGAATATGCTGGCAAGGATGTCCTCGCTGAAAAGAAGTCCAGCTGGGGTACTAAAAAGTGTGACAAGTTTATGCCCATGGACTGAGAGCTGTGGCCAGGGAATAGAGGGAAGTTACATTTAATGCCTCATCCTACCCACACATCTATTGTTGACAAAAACAAGTCATAAATTGCCCATGGGCTTTGAATGATTTTTGTCACATAATAGGTTGAATTATTAATTTAATAATAGTCTATCTTTGGTTTTCATTTTACCAGAAAAGAAGTCCTCTATATTGATTTACTTAAAATCGCATAGCTGAGTGGAAACTAGGGGCAGGGAATTAGTAGCTCAAGCAGAATTGTATTCCCTCCTCCTTAATAATTACTCCCTAGTAATTCTAAGATCTTCATATGGAACATAAATGTGTTTTCATGTATAGTTCAGCTATTCTAACTTTGATAAATGGATTATCAAAGAAAAATTCATTTTGTACATTTTTATAATAATAGAAATAAGAAAAGCCTATTTCAATGTGCAAAGAAAATTCAGCTGTGATGCCAAAACAAACAAATAAACAAACAAATAGAACCTGCCTGATTATCTGCTAAATTAATGAAATAAACAAAAAAAAGATGTAAACAAAACAACAAAATATGTAGATTTGAGCTATCATAATTGCATGTGTGAAATTTGAGGTAAAAATTTTTGCTACAAATGAATTTGAGCCAGAAATGTCTTTGTAATAAAAAAAAATCAATTGAAACACATTTTTCTTTCCCTGTCCATGTATGAGTCTGCTAAGAAAGCCTTAGCTTTTATTTGTTTAAAACTAAATAAAGCATTTTGAAATATAGTCTACTTTAAGTCCTAACCTTGTGATTTATGGGAAGATCTCACGCAGCCAGCCCTCACTTAGCTATAGAGATAATTGACAGAGCTCAGCCTAAGGTACATGATTTGGCTGGACATCACACTTACCTGCTTGATTTGTGGTTACATTTACAGACACATACTGCCGGGCTCCTGGGCTCAAGTCGGACACTCCATTCACTGCCTCAATCTCAAAGGTATAGTTTGTGTGAGCCAGCAGATCCACCATCATGACAGAGGTGTTTTTCAGGCCGATTTGCCGGGGGAGGTACCTGACATGACCGCCACACTCCTCACACACACCTGCATGGGAGTTGCACTTCTTGCATGCAATATAATATGATACATCTTTCCTTCCACCAGTGTCAGCAGGAGGAATCCATTCCAGAAAGACACTAGTTTCATTAACATTTGAGATGGCATTCCGAGGAGCTGAGGGGGGTCCTGGTTTGCAAAGTAAAGTGAGAAAAACATATTTTAAGATGATAAAATTAGGCATTGTTCACTATACAAATCTCTGGTCTGAAGAAAAAAAAATAGATTTGTAATCAATCTTTTAAATAGGGCGAATGCAAGAATCATCAATTTGTAATAATCTTTGGAAAATCTTGTTATAGTTTTGTTGGGACGATAGCAGGATTTATACCCTACAGAAATAACTTATCTTGGCATTGTTATAACCACTTGTTTAGTTAAAACATATGTTTTGCTTAGTGTACATGTAAACAATTATAGAGTAAAACTATGTATGTAAAAATAATGTTAGATAAAAAAATTATATATTCAAAAAGTGGTAAGTCCTTTGACAAGTCCAAGGAAAAATTCTCCTTGGGGATTGAACTGATTACTTCCTTATTGAGATCTGTCCCAGAAACCTAGGAAGTACGCATGAAGGATTTACTAAGCAATGAGCACAAGTGAAAATAGGATTTGTCAGTGTGGCTCTTGACTACAAATTCTGCAGCAAGTAAAAGCCTGAGCTTACCTCAAAATGAATTGCATATCCATAGATAAATCACCAACAACGTTTGAAATCTTCCTCATATGTCAAGAAGAAACTAGAATTTAAGTAGTTGGACATTGCAATGTGTAATGAAACTTCACTTACTTTGATACTGTTTTAATACTGTGGCTCTGCAAATTGTGAATTTTACTTAATTGGAAATCAGAAATTTATTTTAAAAATAACTCTCAAAAACACTATAAGAGTAAGAATTAAAGTGTTCAGATCTTAAAGGATCAGCAGAACAAATTTATATATAAATAATAAACAATATCCATTTGTATATTACTTTATTTCTGAGACGAATAATTAGCTTACTAAAGAGAACTAAAATTAATTCCATATCACTTGTGACAATTGTATACCACTCTGGCGGGGACTGATAAGGGGGGAGGCTTTATGTATTTAGGCATGTGGTATATGGGAAGTCTCTGTGTCTTCCTCTAAATTTTGCTGTGAACCTAAAACTGCTCTAAAAAAATAGTCTTTTTAAAAAGGAATCGCATAATGTCTGTGTCTATAGTTGATTTTCAGGTATTTAGAGTTATAACTTCAGTCAGTTGTTAATGTTATATGGTCACATGTCCCCCCCCCAAAAATACATTTATATTTGTTCAGACTTAATATGTAAAACTTCCTGACAGGGAATAGAATGGACCACGGTGGTCGTTGAATGGTTCATAAGCATAAATTAAGCTACTTGGAAGGACATATCTTAGTTCTCTTAATATCTGTTGTTTTAAATATAGAGATTAATATTAATTTCTACCTAACATTTATTAAGCCACGACTGTTGAAGACTAAATTTAAAAGTGATTAAAAAATTCACCTGGTATTTACAAATTGCCATTTAAATTAAAGGACCCCATAACCTAAGAGTTGCCATTTTTGGCAAAATAATCCCCAGCTCAACTATATTTCTGATTGAACCCCGTGAATTTCCCATTCATACAACCTCACACACTTCAATATAAAGCAGTTACTTAAGATGGAAATACACAAGTATTATTTTTTTACTGTAAACTTTAGCTTATTTAATAGAGGAAAGTTATGGAGAAAATGTCATTTGAGATCAAAATGTTACAGGTTTACTTCTGAGAATAAGGTAAAATACACTTGAAATATGTCTAGTTCAGGAAGACATCAAACTTTTTCTTCCTGACATCTGAAATATAACCAAATTAACATATTTTCTCTAAATCTGTAAAATTAAAACAAATCAGAGTTTGACTCTTCCTTTTCTTCTGACTCTCTACAAATAGCCCCTCAAACATTTGGGTGGGAAGTATATGTCTTTTAATGTCAAAATAAAACTCAAATTCAAGTGAAGTCCTAAAGTAGAAGTAGAAGGTAGAAGCTCGGTTTGACATACACTTAAAAAATAACCTAATGAAATTCCACTGCCTTGCTGAGATGTGATATATGAACCAAAACAGAGCTATGAGAAGTACCCCTCATTGAAGCAGATTCACCAGAATCTTTTTTTCTTTTCTTGTAAGTTTATAACATTCTATTTTCCACATTTATATATTTATAATATATACATTATATATTATATAAACATGTTATATATTTATATATTTATACATATATACATCAAAATTATTAAAAGCAGTTGGAACCATAAATTTAATTCCAAAGAGCCAGCAGAAAGCAAAATTCCAGACTTTCATGTGAACATGTGAACATCAATCAAGCCATCCATGCAAGGGGATCATATGCAGTATTTGTGGTGCTACGAATGCAACTAAAAACAATACACACACACCCGCAGATTATATATTAGAAAGATCTTCTACACAAGTCCCAGTAGTGTTTTTCAACAAATGCATACAAATTCTTTTGAAACACAGTATTAGAAATCCGCACACCTGGAAACAGAAAATTTGAAGCCCCAAGTCCTCTAAGAGGACTAAGTAGTCCCTGCCACCAGAGCACAGTCTTTCCCTCACCCCAAACCTAACGAACTTACAGAAAGGGAGACTCACTTTTACGATGAAAAAGAGAAAGATCATAGCTGGACCACTTAAAGAAAATAACTATTAGAAAATAAATGAAATTTAAAAGATAATTCAAGATATGGTTATCTCTCCCTAATTTACCACTCTATTGTCTGGCCACATTTCCCTTTTACTCTCTGGGCATTCTTTTGCTCTGATAATTAAAATAACCTCAACTGTAACCAAAACACATCACATGCAATCATAGTTTATGTCTCCTCTACTCAAATGCATCCTCCCAAAAGTGTATATAATAATATCAGTTTATTTATTTGAAAAAGAAGTGTTTATAATTAGTAATCATCTAACCCATAAAATGATCAGTCTTGTGATAAAAGAATGATCTTTAGCAATGTAAAGCTAATTAATATCAATGATTTGAGAAATTATGAAAATATGTCTCACTGACACTATGAAATTCAGATGCTGAAATTCAGATAAAACTTCAGTTTGTTGTCATTTGATTAAAGGAATTTTATGTCTGTTTATATTTCATACTAGAATGAATACTAGATTTCAAAAAGTTTGGTCATCATCTTTGAGAGCAACTGCAGCTGCTAGGATCAAAAATAATAAAACAAGGCAAGGTCATGGATACTGAATCTTATGGGGATAGGAGATACACTTTCTTCCCTGCCATTGTGAGTTTTTGTTTGATTTGCCATAGAGACTGTGAATGTGGACAACTTATGAAAGTATTCTTATCAAGCAAATACATAAATGCATTTCCTTCTCAGAAATATGTGGAACACTAGAAAAACAAAACACCCAAAAACATTGATGGATGCAGATGCTTCCACTGCAAATGTTGGAATTAAGTGTTTACTCTTCATCATTCTAATTATATGATTATGGGATCATATAATTGATAATAGTTAAGGACACTCACTTACAAGAAATAGGACAACTGCTTAGAAGTCCTAGCTAAAGGTTTAGTTTTCTATTTGACTCCTAAATCTGATTTGCCAACCCCCAGTACTCCATGGTCTTGAAGTGTTTCCTGTCTTCTTTCATAAATGACCTTCTTACTGGCCTTTTTCGTTTTGTGGGGCAAATTAGGTAAAAAAAAAAAAAAGGCAAAAGTACCGTTTATTACATGTTTATGTGATCAAAAGCCTGCCTCGGGAGAAGACGAAGAATGAAAAAAAGTTTACGGTGAAAAGGAAAATGGGTTTATCAGAGTCATGTTTAGCTGTCATGAACATTAAAAGAAATTATAAAATAAAAGAAAAAATTCCTTATCTGTCTCCGATGTTGAATTTGAAATTAGGGAAAATGAATGCTTCTAACAATGAGTAATAAAAGAGACTCCAACTTTTCAATGCTTACTTAAGAAAATCAAAATCTGGTTTAAAAAACTATTTTGGAAGATTAAACATTATGCCTGTTTTAGGGGAAATGGTAATAGGATGTAACAGGCTCCATCAGGCTCTTTCTTCAAAGTGGTGAAAGTTAGCATCACCAAATATTGGTTGGGTTCCTTACTTGTGCATGCCATTGTGGGTGGATCAGACTCCCTCCTGAAATAATCCTTTTCACAGACACAAGAGGTTGAAGCTTCCTCATGGGTATAACTGTGAGGTGGACATTTGCTGCAGCTCTGGCTGTGAGGTGAGGCTTTGAAGAACCCAGGTCTGCACACTGTCAAAAGAAATAAGAAACTAAGCTTTTCCCTGGAACAGATGCATTGTTTGCTTTGTGAATAATGTCATTATTTTGACTAGTATACACAAATTACATATAACACAATATTGCCATTAATTTCAAAAATGTTTCATAAGATTCTGAATCATAAATGCCAGGCTATTCATTCAGATAATCAAATATTTAAGTATTTAAATTAAACATGTCTGGACTGTGTGTACTTTAGTCATTTTTATGTTGCGGGAGCTTATAAGAAATTATATTATAAAAGGTAAATACTTATATGTATTTAAAACTGAAGTAGTGCTTTGAGTGTAATTTTCATTTATGGTATTATTAACACAACTTTTGTTGAAGAAATAATATTTTTCCCTATGCTCATAGAATGGTAGGGTACATAGTAGGTGCTCAAAATTTTGTTTTTGAATTAATTAATTAATTGGTAGGTGTTAAAAGCTTCACAAATTTTGTTGGATTTGAGAGAATGCATGGATGAGCTGGTGTATCATTCACATTATATTGATTTCAGGGGGAGTCAGATGTTAGGCATTTATTTTACATTTTTTTTCCATTTTAGAACTTTTATTTGACTCAAGAAGCATCTATTCTAGTATCATTCATACTTATACTGTACATATTGTAATGATCTATAAAGGGTAGAAACTGTGTCTTGTTCAATTTTGCATTCATCTATTTATCACAGTGTTAGACCACAGTAGGTGATCATAAATTATCATGTAATGCATAAATGAATGAATGACATGGCATGAAGATTTTAACTGAACTATTCAGAATCACATAAAGAATATGTTCTCTGGATATTTTTATTAACATTTCTGTTAGTGGTCAAGGGCTAACAAAATAAATCTTTTTATGAGGCTCATTCCCTAATCTTTTGTATCTTTCTTTCTTCTCAGTGGCTAGTAAAGCCAAACTTTCATTCCAGTTTCCCTCTATGGGCCAATTAAAGACACCAAACCGTTGATTTGATTACTTTTTAGGGTTTAGATTACATAAAACTCATCTGCCATATATATTTTTTCTATTTTCAAAACTCAGTACATACACTTAAGAGCATTTATTCAAGCATCAGTGGAAATTTGCTAAAGCTCAAAGGTCAACTTGTATTTCAATAGAAATTTTTGATAGACATAATGAATTTGGGCTAATTTTCATGTGCTATAAATGATTTGGGGTTTTAGTAATCCATGCGAAGGCTTTCTGCCATCACCATGAATAATCAGGAATTGACAAAAATGAGAAGGTACTTTTTCAGTAGATCTAATTATAGCGATAACAAAGCCTTAATGCTCTTATAAATTCAGAGAGAATGTGAAGGTATTTGAAAGATAAGAAGAGCTTTTTGATAGTATTAGAGACATTCTTGTAGCTAAATGATTAGGAAAAGATTTAAAATATTATTTTTCTTATAATAGGATTGCTGTAGCAGTCAATACCATTCTTAGCTAAGTTATCCATTTTTTCTTCTTTTATCCTTTTCAATAAACCATTCTCACTTTAAACACTATTTACTTTCAAAGACATGAAGTGTCAATCCACAATTCTGCATATTTGGAATTCAATGATCATTTATTAAACAAAATTCAGCTCTTTTCTTTTATTTAATGCCTTTTAACCTAAAAACTTATTGTGATATCGTATGTAACACTTCTTAACCCTCTATGGAAACTTTGGAAGCAGAAAGTAATATAAATGTAAGTAAAAGTAGATAAATGTATCTTTCTGGTCAGTAGTTCAACAAAACGCTTTCAGCAAGTGGGCCAGAAATTTTGCTCGGTACTAGATTACAGAGGTAAACAAGATAGACATGGCTCTGCTTTTGTGAATCTTAAAAGTACTGCATGAATAATTATAAATATTTCTATGCTAGAAAAAAGAAAGAGCATGGAATTGAACACTGACACCTAATTTAGACTGGGATGTCAAAAAGAGACTTCCTTAGGTAGCTGAGTCTCTGCTGATATGTTAAAAAATTAAAAAGGAAAATTATCCAATTTACATTAGGGGGGCATTAGAGTGCATTAAACTGCATTAGAGGGGCAAAATCATTGCAAAAGACCAAAATACATGAACAAATAAAGAGATAGAGGAAACTAAAGAATTGGTAAGGGTGATCGTAGAATTAAAGTGGCAGAGATAAAGTTAGGGAAAAGGACACCAGGACACACTTTATAGTTTTTATTATTTGAGGTCATTACAAAATTTTAAGCAGGGAAATACTGAGATGACGATGTTTGAGAGATCATTGTGTAGCAGTGTGGATAATGGATTGGAGAGGAGCGGGGATGGAGGCAAGTGTTTCTTTGCTTCTGTTGCACTGGTGCAGGAAAAGACTCTTGTTTAACAAGAGTGGTTCCAATGGTGATAGATGAGAGTAGGTGAATTCAGGAGATCCGTCTGAGTTAAAATCAATGAGGTTCCATGATATATTTAATGGGTTAGATGTGAGAGCGGGAAATCCTAAGACTAACTCTAAGGTGTTTGGCTTTCACTGCCCAGGAACTACGGGAGCCACTTTCCTCAGAGAATGCTTGATATGAAATGTGCTTGGGGGAAGATAATGATTAGTTTAAAGTGTTATTTAATTTGAGGTGGCAAAAGAAATCCAAATAGAGATACATAGAGGAGAGCAGTAGACTCAGTGTTATCTAAGAAAAAAATATATATGTATATATACATGTAAAAGTAATTATTCATTGCCTTCAAATCATGGCCCCAAATCCAAATGGGACATACAATGCTGCTAGACAATCTTAGTATTATTCCTTAGTTAACTTTAGTTTTCAGCATCAACATGATTATTTTGTAGCTTCTCCTCTCTCTTCTTACTCCTTAGAAGCTCTGCTCTAGTGATTCCTAGCTGGTTACATTTGTCTCTGTGCTGAGAAAATAGAAGTCATTAGAGGAACTTGCTCATTTTCCTACCACCAAATCTCCAAACCTATAGCACTTGTAGCCACCTCTCTAACTTTCTTCCTGTTAAAATGCACAGGTATTTTTGATTCTATCAAAGGAAGATATCTTTATTTTAATTAGGAACCTCATCTCTATTCTCTGAGGGTAATATTTCAAATATCCTTTCTACATGCTCAGTCTCTTTCAATCTCTTTCTTTCAATCTCTGCTCTGTCTGTCTCTCTCTTTCTTGCCTAGTCATTCAGATGAGCCCAATACAATTTTCCAGAACTTTTCAATGTAAACAAAGTGAAACAAAACAAAACAAATAATAACAACAATAAAATATCAATCTCACTTGATCTGTTTTCCCTGTAGCTACCCAACAGTTTTGTTCCCCTTCAGGACGCAATTTCTAAAATTACTTTTCCATACATGCATCCCTAGTTCCTATTTTAAATTATACATTGGCACAGTCCACTCCCCTGAAACTTTTCTTGTTAAGATTGCAGTCATTTTGTTTCCATACTTCTCAACAGCATTTGATCATGTCCATTTTGGGAAGCTCTAATTAATTTTACTACAAAATGCTAGCATAGCCTGCAAGTTTCCACACAATATCTAACAAATCCTTCAAATGTGGTCCCCTCCCATCCGTACTAAACTACTTATAATTTCCAGCATTTGAGAAACTCCTTTATCTGCTTCTGAATATTGCAGGAAAAGCATTCCAGCCAAAATACAAGAAGTGTAAGTTAAGGGAAAAAAATTGTAGTCCCTGATAAGAATTTGGATTTAATCTGAATTCGTTTGGAAAACCCTGGGTATTTATTTTTTGAGGGCACTCCTTTTGTCAAGCACTGTGGCTAGGAATATTTATATTGTGGTCAGAAAATAAAAATTGTACTTGACACCCTAAAGCTACAACATATTTGGGGAGATAGAAAATAAAAAGTAATAATCAAAAGAAGCAAAATTAACCTTTTTGCATTTTAATCATGGCAACGTTTAACAAATAATTATTTAGATGAGTAGTAAGATTTCTTTAAACTCAAACTTGATATGTTTCGTTTAAACATAAAGGAAGATTTTGGAGTAAAGTTGTTCCAAAATGACAATTGTACTATACCTAAAAATTATTTAGAAAATATTATGCAAGTCCTTTTAAGTTGAACAAGGAGTTGGAGACAAAAACTGTATCCCATGTTGACATGTTTCATCAGTCTGATTTGGAGGGAAGGAAACTATTTTTTTTTTTGAAGGAAATGTTTTTAATAATTCCTCTTCTGTCTATGCTTCAAAGGTTCTTTTTAAGAGCCTTTTTCATGATGTTTCTGATGATCTCCATTGCTACATATTCTTTCCTTACACACCTTTTAGACTACCAACTATTTATTAGACATATAGTAAAAATTTTGTCATAATTTTATGTGTATGAATTCTCACCTGCTTTATATAGAGTTGGGAAACTATATAAACATTCTAGAGAATGGAAGCAGTTCATTTGATTTTCATCATACATTACATAGCATAATTTGTTGCACTGAGCACATATTCATCAGTATTTATTGTGTAAATAGTATAATGTGTCCTTCTCAGAGTGTAAATGATATAGCAGAACTTAATAAAAGCTGATGAAGCTAAATTATTTAAATATTAAGTCTTGGAAAGTAAATAATAATATGTCCTACATCTATGCTGGCTACCTCAGAGGTTTTGCAAAAACTACCAACATTCCAGCTTTCATATTTATCACTTAGAAAACAAGGATGTTAATTAAATCTATTAATATAGTTTTAAAAATCTAAACAGAAAAAGCATATCATCAATATATGAATTTCAATTGTCAAATTTGTGAAAAGGTATTGCCTAATCTAATTAGAAAATCTTAAAAAGTTCTCAAAATTACCAAAATTGGTTAACCTCATGATTTAGGGTTTTTCCTATAAATTTTTATAATCAATTAAATTACTTTTAATGTGTCCAAAATATTTTAGCCTTAAAGGTCCATCACCCTTGGGATACCTAAGTGAATTCATTTTACAGTTCAAAATCCAGAAGCATAGTCACCAAGAAAAAAAA